ATACTAAACCCAGAAAGCACAGCAACGTTTCTTTTGTGGATTATAATTGAGAGTAAAGCCAAGTATGCTTCCTTCAGTAGAGATGACTGAAGGGGGGATGGGGAAATAGCCATTTGGAGAGTGTAACTCGTGCCCTGGGAACCTGTCTGTCTTGTCAGCTGTGATCACAGCTGAGATTGCTGGCCGTCTCTGGTAGGATCACTTTCAACAGACCTGGTCAGCTTTGCTCAGTTGTGACTAAAAAGGTTTCTGGTTGGTTGGTTTATTTTCTTCTTGCATCTTTATAGCTCATGCCTTTGTCACCTTGAGACTGGCCTACGATAATATGTTATCTTGCAAGGCTTTTATGTTTATTAAAATTATAATTTTTGCAGTTGAGTATTGTCAGTGTCAGCTAATTTATTTTGCTGAAAGTATCTTAGTTGGGTGAAATCACCCATTTAAGTCTCAAACAGCTATACATGGCTTGGGACTTGCCTGTCTGGAATCTCTGCCCAGCTAGTCCTGCCCTTCTGCCTCACATTTGAAACCAGTGCAAATGCTGATTTCCAGCTCTCTCAAGGAACATTGGAAACATTCCTTGATGTGAAAGAGGGGGAACAGCTGGTAAGCGAGCATGGGAGGCATCTCTAGAGATGAGCTTCCATTTTCAGAATACAACTTCCTTGTGCTGGAGCAAACTGGAGTAGATTGCACATCGCTAGTGGCACACTCAGTATTGGATAGAGTTCCTTTTGCTGTAGACACGATTGTGGTTGCGTGGTTGACTGTGTTCACACTAATAAATGAGTAAAATTTTGTTACACGTCTGTAATACAGGGAAAGATTGATAAAGAAATCTTTGTAGACCTCACTTTCCCTAAGGCCTTCCTTAATTTACTGCCTCTGCTTTTAAAAAAATCTTAAAGATGTTAGGAACAAGAAGGAAGGAGAATGTCTTGGCTGGAACATTCATTGTTTCGTTAAAAGAAAAAAGGCAGGTGGGGAAACATTATAATCTTGGGAAAGTGTCATCTTACTGTGAAATATTGTATCCTAGAAACAATGTGGAAAGTTCAAAAATTTCATTAGTTAAGTGTATTGTTGTTTTTCTCATGGACGTGGCTTGGATTTCTGAGGTGAACAAACTGACTAGGTCTGTCTTCTGCTTTTCCTAGAACATGTTTTATTTAGGATTCTGGAGGAGAACAGTTGTGTGACGCTGAACTCGAACTATGCGGTCTGTTGTAGGTCATTCATTTGTGATAAACACTTCACGTGGCCACTGTTTTATTCACTTCCCATATTGGTCCTCTTCAATCCACCCAGATTTTTGTACAAAGGCTGTTCATTACTGACGCTCCAGTCATGTACCTTCTCCCCGCCCTCCCCCAGCCCCCCCATCTTCCCAATCCTTTCTCTGGCTTCTGTTTATCTTCTGGTTTTCATCCTCTCTATGAGGACTGCGGTGATATTGCAAATCCTGACATTTATCTGTTATCCTAGTTTTTTTGATACATGCAACTGCATCCTTTCTCACATGTGCTTCATGTTTTCTGCCTGTCATTTCATGTTGCACACAAGTCCAGTCAGCTGTAATTGCTTAACAAAAATATATGTGCTAATACAAAGCTAGAAAGAAAGTGCTTACATTGCTCGAGTTATTTGCTAGAAAGCCTTCAAACAAGTTGCAGAAGACAGAGTGTGTTACTGCAGAATTTGCTGAAATAACTAAACCTTTAAAAAATTTTAAGGACTGGTGAACTTGTCAAATTTTGTATGGCATATGACTAGTATTCCATAATAGCAGGCACCTCTGCAACAAAAGGAGAGGGGTAATGAGGGAGAAATGTAGATACACTTTGCCCTAATTATCTTTACATCTTTATCTGGTGTTTCAATGCTCTCTCCCTCCCTTCCTGAACGAAACTTTTGAATTGTGTACATTAGTTTTGTTGTTTCATGTCTTTCCAGCAAGAAACATTCTGATAACAATTTTTTTTGCTAATGATTTGTTAGCAAGATTAGACATCTGTTAAAAATGTTAAGAGGCCAGAGGCCAAACACATTATTTTCTTTGAAAACTGCAATGAACATTTGCCAGTATATGTAAAAACTTCTTGTTCAACCTTCTATCATTTTTAGAGCAACCTTCAATCATTTTAGAATATTTGATTTAGTATTACAATTCAGGGTTATATTCCTTTGCAGAATAATATATGGAGGGCAAGCTTGCAGAGCTCAAAGTTAGGAAAACAATCTTTTTACTGGTAAACTGAGCAAATTTATTTTTAAAGACAAACAGAATTGCTGATGCAATCTTACTGTCCCCTCGTTTTACATGAAATCCTAGGGCATCTAAGCTGGACAGAGTTGGGGTAAATGTGTTATGTTGTTTTCATTTTTGTGATTAAGGGGCAAATAATGTCTGAGCCTTGGATATCCGTATGTTGCTATTTTTCTTTTTCTATGGGACAGTTTAAAAAGGGTAGGAACTGGTCAAAGGATAGGTACTTCATTGAGAAGGCTCCATAGTGGGTGACATACTTAAGGTGAGCTGTTTAATTCCTGAAAGATACAGTTTAGGTTTGATTAATGGATTAATAAATTCATACTAAATAAAATCAGTATCTTTGGCCGCAGAAAAATAACAAAACTCCTGAAACATTATGTGATTATCTATCTATCTATCTACATATATATAGGTGTTTCGGTTTTTTACTAGTAAAACATAAAAGAAAATGAATTGCTTGGACCCCAAAACTTTTTCTTTATTTTAATTTATATCCAAAACAAAATGAAGGAATTGCAGATTGATTGAGGATGAAATGAAAGAAAAAAAAACCACCCTTGCATTAAGTTGGGCAGCAAAATGAAAAAACTGTTCTTTTTATACATGTGTATCAGTGTGACATTGCCAGGGAGGCATGGGAGTGTTGAGTACACAAGTATTGTGGAGCCCAAACGAAGTTTTTCCAATTTATTTGAAATAGCTAAATACCATATTGTAATCTGTCATTTTTTTAAGGTGTTATTATTAACCATTTATGATGTTTTTGTAAGTGTCCATGGTATTTCTTAGACAGAAAATACATCATTGTAATTGCTTGTTAATGTTTAACAAATATTACAGAAAATATATTTTCTGATAGCCAATTCACAGTTTATCCTTTATATTTTACCACCTACTTGCAAAATTGTATGTAACTGGATGCAGAAAATATGTTTCTTAGTATTTATAATGACCCCACCAAAGACACGTAGTTATAAACTGCAATCTGTTCACAGAGTTTCTCCAGGATATGCACGATTGCCTAGAAGTGACAGTAATTTCAAAACAAGTACTATGACTAAATGTAGGCTATTACATTCTATGACCAAATACTGTAAGAAGTATTTACTTGGTGTTTGAAGTCCTCCTGTGTTTGTTGAAGAGTCATTTGTGGAGGGAATGACTTACGTGACTCCTCTCAAAACTTGACTAAATCTGCACACCAAACTAAGCTTACAATCATTATTAATGTCATCACACGAAGATTCTCTAGCTTTTGGGCCAAATTTAGAACAAATATTTGAAAGGGTAAACAACATTAATAACTTTAATAGCTTGGGTCTTTTGCATACAAAATAGCCCATAAAAACAGCCTTAGTGAGGTGCATAGTCAAAAATTAGAAGATACGGTATCTGAGGATTCCCATGCAAGCTTAATTCAGTCCATGTGGTTGCATTTCATCATCACATCTTCCTTTTTTGTTCTGAACTGTGTCTCTTTTAATATATAGATTATATAGTAATCACTAAGCAGCTGCTCAGTATTTTGTCCTCTTACTGTTCAGGGTGTAATTCTAGATCTGACTTACTGCATATGCTGTTCAAACCCTCCTCTGGAAATATATGCTTCTATGCGTATTTTTCTGTTCTGCTTATCACTATAGTAAATAAAGGACTTAAAGGTCACTAATTTGTCTTCTTCCCCTCTGTATGAGGAAGGGCATGTTTTAATCCTCATCTTACAGATGGGAACCTGAGATACAGTTGCACAGGCCACCTTTAATTCTCGAATGCATTATTTTACAACTCTATGAATTGATTTTACGTTAGGAAAAGAGGACGAGTGAGAAGTGTAATTTCCTAGGTGTTAAAAAAGGAGTCAGATTTCTGTTTCAAATTTCGTTGTCGTCTGTTTCTGTCTTTTCTCTTTTCTTCCATTCTCCCTTCCTGTGTGTGAAAGGCATCTTGGCATCTTAGCTGAGACCTTTTTTTTTGGTTGGAAAGTAGGAAAGCTTGATTTTTACAGAAGTGCTAAAATTTAATTTGAGGTTCCTCCCTTTTTAATAGCATTTCTAGGGATTTTACTAAATAGTGACTTAATAAGTAAGAAGTCAGCTCTATACAAGAACAAAACGTTAACTTGAAAGTAATTTCTACCTTTCTCTAGGATTATCAGCAAAACAGAAATAATGAAAAATAAACATATGTAATTCCCAAACTTGAATTTTCTTGCAACTAAATGGAACACAAATCTCAGAGTATCTGAGCTTTGTTCCTTTATATAAGCATGAATTTTGTCAGGGATTAAATTTGGCAAAAGTAAATTCTTCCAATCCTTCTTTTAAGTCCTTTCCAAAGTACATATATTGTATTTTGGTATTTTGTGTAACCATACGCCTGCTTAGGGGAGTGTTGAGAACTGTCTTAAAATGTATTTTTATCTTAACTAGGCGTAACTACCTTTATTCAGTGCTAATGGGGGTTTTCCAAGAGCGCTGATGCTATGTAAATGTGGACTGTATAATTAAACCTATGAAAAAGTCAAATTTTGCATTCAGGTTCTTATTCTGAAACATATATGACATTTTTAAAAGGCTGTAGAAATATTTAGCTTCTGTACCTGCTAAAAATGCAGGGTTTTCTGTTTAAATTTAGGAATAGCAGCAGAGTATACAAAATGCTATAAAGAAATGTTTGTCCTGTCTTGAAATAAGCAATTTTTCTAATGTTTTATTTGTTTGACAAACAGGTACACACAAAGTTCCACTGTAGGCAAGCCCACGCTCCAGGCACCGACACTTCATGCTTGACATTTTCCTATGACGGTACTGTCCTTGCCAGCCGGGGAGGTAAGTGATTGAAAGAACTCTTTGATGTGTTGAATGTAAGACAATTTAAACTTTACTAAATGAAATGGTTTGATAAACAAACCGTTTAAATTGTATCATCGTTAAATGTAATTGTTTATGATGGAGGTAAGATAGTGAAATCAGATACTAGTGATTTAAACCTGAAGTGTTTCACAGTTTACGTCTTTTACACACCATGCAATACTGTGTTCCTGAAAGCACATTTTACAGCAATTAAGGAATATTTTAAGAGAACTTTGCTGTTTATGTTACACAGTTCCTAATCTGTCTTCTTGTCTAGCATTAATAATACGCCAAAAGGAATTTATTAGCTTAATTAAAAATAAAACGAGACCAGTTGTTACTTAGTTCTTTCTGGGAAGATTACTGCCTCTCACTAACAGTACTGCCTCTCTTTTCTGGATTTATTAATTCCTCAAGCAATGCAATGTCCTATGCTATGTCCTTTTCTGTTCTAACTGGAATTTTTATCTAATTTATGTTACAAACATTAGCAGGTGATGACTGGAAGTCAATGGCCAAGATGTACTTGAATGGCAAAAAAATTTGAAATGTCTACAGGACAGGAAAAAACTGCTTGTTTTTTAAACGTCAGATAAAACTTTTATAAAAGAATCTTAGATAACAGAACAAGTCTTGAGGAAGCAAAGATATATTCGAAGACTCATTCACTCCAGTATTGGATGTATTGGATAGGATGGTGTCTGCCTAAGACAGCTTTTCATACAGAGATTTGTCTACCCTGTATTTTGCAGGCAGGTGCAAGCATACAATCTGAGCTGTCTGGATGGAAACCAGCTGTAACCAGAAGCTATGTGTATGCATTAGCATGGCCCCAAGGCCAAATAAACAGGCCTAGGGAGAGGCAGTATATGTTAATGTTGGCTAGCATTGTGCCAAACATATGTACAGGACATCTGGTCAGTTTGGTACATAGACAGAATGAGATTACATATACAAAGTACCAGGATAGAGGTATTCATAGATGGCAAAAGCTCTGAAGCAGGGGATGTGCTTCCAAGCCAAGGGCTGAAGTTGCCTTGTGTCCTCCCCCTCCCCCTGTGCCTGATGAGTAGAGTGGCATTGGTGGCTTTTACAGTGATATGCAGCTGCTGTTGAATGCTACCTCTCTGACTTCTTTGTATGTCTTGCCACGTTTCTAAGATTCCAAACATTATGTTCCCCAGATCACATCTTTCAGAGTAAGATGATGGTAATCTTGTCCTTGACAGCCCCAGGCTTACTAGGACATGCTAATGGCACTTGGATTGTTTCTTAATTGTTGTTCAGGCTCCTGGATCCAGAGTTCTACTGCCACTGTACTCATCATGAATGAGTCCTAAGTGGTTGAGGTAAAAACTCTAAACCTTGCTGGTCCTTACTGAACCAGACATTTACTATGTGAGAACCTTCTCCTCCTTGGAAAGTAGGTGAACCGTCTGTCTGTTCTGGGCTAAGTGAAATGCTGCATCTGTCTGCCAGTGGTGTTGCTCCCAAAAGATTCACGGACATACTTCATAAGGTTTAAGGAGAAACCACAATGTGCTCTTAAATACTAACAGCAAACAACATTAATACTTACATGAAGAATATTCACTAGTGCTGTTTTGAAACCTCCATTTATGTAAATTCTCTTATGTTTCACTTTTATGAATGTAGATCACATAAATGGCCTTTGCTTATTTTTATTGCATGTGGCACTTTTGGTTGCCTGCTCTTCCTCATCTGTCTCCAGATTTTGTGTCATGTTAAACAGACTTTCATGCACTTATGTTTTATCTACCACACTCTGCTCTAAGCTATATAAAATGTTGATTGATTGTTTGCAGAATGTAAGACTGTACAGAAATTTGGCCCCTCAGTGTGGATAAAAGTGCTACCTTTGCCTAGCATATTAAAAAAGAAAAGCTCTGTGTGCACTATGCTAGAGAATAAGGAGGATTCATACCTTATTTTGACTTGTTTGGTTAGTGCTTTAATATGAGTATTGCTTTGGATCTGTACCAACAAAAGCAGATGTGGATCCAGCATTCATAGATTAACATACCTGCCAAGTGCTGAGGATCAAAGAGAGGGTAGTTGTTTGGGGAATGGGGACTTTCATTGAAAGCCTGATTGACTCTCCTGCATCTGATGTAGATTCTGTGTTGGATATGAGAGAGATGAGGCAGGGCTCAGCTGCAAGCACTAGGGAAAATGAAAACCTAAGGAGCTGCTTATGAGAGTTCCCAGTCTTACTCTTGTTGGGTATTAGGTAGTAACTTGACAGAAACTTAAGAAAGTGATATTGTTGCACACTTGTAACCATGAAAGTAATTTTTTCTAAATACAGTGAAGATAGTATTTGGGGAACGTTTTCTTTCTTTAGCAGTGAAGAGGTAAGCATTAGGACTGGACTTGGAGTCCCATTATGAAAATTTAAAAAAACCTTTTTTGACTCCTGGTATGTACAGAATTTATAGAGTTAGGTTTTGTCATAATATGAAGCAATGACTTCATTAATTCCATGAATCTCATGATAGCTATTAGTTTGGTCATTCATTTATTTTCTGTGGTATGAACAGTGTGCAGACTCAGTGCCATCTTAATCAGTAAACTAATATAGGAAAATAAGTTCACCATAAGTTAAATTACAAAAAAAATTTAATTTTTAAATTTTTAAAATTTTTTTACTTAATTAGAAGTAAAAATTAAAGAAAAAATATTCACATCTAAGCCTATGAGATAGCAGATACATGCTTTCTTTTGAGGTCAAAAATTTTTTTTTAATGTTTCCTTTTGATGTTTTGGTTTTGGGTTTTTTTTTTTTTAGTTTTAGCTGTATTTATCTTTTCACCATGTTCTTGAGGAAAAAGAAAACATTTAATTTTGAAGTTGCTTTAAAAAGTAGAAACACCTTGAGTACGGTTTCCTATATACTTAAGCATTATGCAGCAGCATGCATAGTGACTTTCTATTTTGTGTAGAGTAATAATATATTGCTCTTTATAGTAAATACAAACATTAGCATTTTAAAAATCAAATGGTTTTATGTCATTTTAAACAACACCAAAAATGCATTCATTAGCTTTAATAGGCATCGTCAACTATTTGTAACACTTGGAGCTGAAATGGCTTTCTCAAAGTCCTCCAGTATCCTTCACTTCTGTATGTTTAGAGAGGAGAATGCGCTGAAATATTTGGCCAGGCTGGTATGGATGCAGGTGATGGTGAGAGCTGTTCCAAGTATAAGTGCAGAATCCCCAATTTGTGACTTCCCTCCCAAGGCCTTTGGCTGTGAGTGTGGTCCCGACCTGTGGTGCCTCCGAAGGTCGTTCTTTAGCTGTTGCAGCTCCTCCTGCAGAACTAGTGCAGAATGCAGAAGTATATACCTTGTTCTGTAAGGTGCCTCTCCTCACATATATAGTATGAGCCTTCACAGAAAGGCTCAGAATTTATAAACGTAATAAATTCTGGTGCTCCCTCATGGTAAGCCTTGTTATGCTATGCCTTTCCTATGCTGCATTTTCTTTTTTAAATTCTCATTTCCTCTGTTTCTTTGCTTTCCCTAATGATCTTTGTGAATTTCTGTCCTTGAGTTTTGCTTTCAATACAGGACTTCCTCTTTAAAATAGGAGCTTCCTGAAGGGTGTTGCTGACTTCAGGCTCTTTGAATTTCTGGCAGCACTTTTGCTTCTTTCGGGCCTATTTGCATGCCTGTTCTTGTCTGCCTGGTCAGTATCTTCTGAAAAGAAAAAAAAAAAATCAGATAAAATCTTTGTAGTATCAGTGCATTGGCCTTATTTTGACTAAAAGCCAGTTGCAAAATGCCTATCCTGGCTCATCAAAGATTTTTTTTCTAGGACCTAATTGTTACCTCTTGAGAAATCCAATGCTCGATACCGTTGGCATAATGGTGTCTGACCTGATTGTATCAAACTAGGGCCTGTTTATTGGTATCCTTCTTATTAAAATGGCAAAGAACAGAGTTTGAAATGCTACTAAAAATGCCGTAAAAGCTTTAAATAATCCTGTCAGGCTTTGGAGAAGTCTGCCATCAAGAAAAATGATCTGACTATTTTGAATGCTTCATACTGAACTGCACAACTTCTGTTTATATGTTTTTGTTTAAGGGTAACCAGTTTTGTCCATGTATGAAGTAATTAAAAATAGATCAGTACTGCTACAGCTCTTGTAAAGAAGCCCCTTAAGCATTGATGGAAGGATGCTACTGGAAAAAATCCTTGGTGTTGTGGAAAGTTAATAGTCTCTTTTCTTAGTGTCAGTGATTTCAACTCCAAATGCAGACTACATTCAGGAACCAATATCATATTTGCAACACAGAAAATTTTAATTAGGAAAAAGTGAATTTGGGCAAATTATTAACAACAGTGAGAGTTTCACAGCATTGGCCAAGTCATTCTACTAGCATTTCTCCCTTTCCAAATACTCAATGATCTATTTCTGCACAGTGTAAGACAGTATTGATATGAAAACAGCCATGGCTTTTTGAGTTCTCCTGGAGTCTTCTAATTTTTTAAGCCAGCAGATTACATTTTCTTGTTAACAGAAGAGCTGTAGTTAAATGACTGCATCTCTCCTGCTACAGCCTGGCAGAACTACAGCTTGAAGATCATGTCAAGGCTTATTCCACTGGGAACAGAACAGCCTTGGCTGCTAGCCTTAGATCTGTCCCTATCCAGGAGATCTGCAGAGTAGCCAAATGGTATCCTTTGCATACATTTATAAAGTGCTGGTGCTTTAGATATAACATCTCGCTGATAAGTGTGTTTTTTTTTTTTGTTGGAGATGGGAGGGAAAAGGGAGGGTTCATATTACAAGACCAAATGCTTTGAAGTGCTTGGGACGGAGTCTACTGGGAAACAATAAAAAAACAGATATTCCCAAAATAGGGACTCAACATTTTTCTTTCTTGTCATTTTTTAGCTTCCCAATGAAAAGAAATATACTTTGCTCTAGACATCATTTATTTAAGTTGTCCACTTCTTAAAAATATTTTGTAGTAAAGAGTTATCCTAGTCTTTAATATAAACATACATGATGTACGAGGCCACACATTACTGCTTTCCCTGTAAAGGGTACTGCTGGCCTTGATTTCTTTTGTTACAGCATGTTACTTTTTTTTTTTTTTTTAACATTTTATTTCCAAGGCCTCCTTTAAGGTCTTGATCACAAAGGCTGTGAATCCACAAAATAATTTTAGACAACAAAATTACTTCCCTGCAAGGTTTGTGCTTTGGAAGAAAGCAGGTCTGTGGATTACCAATCACTTGCCTCCTTTTCCTCCTAGGTCAGGAATATTTTGTAACTTTTTGTCTGAAATTAATCTCTGGTTATTTTTAAAGAGAACAGTTGTTTGAAAGTCCTTCTTTTCACCCTTGAAAGCGCTGATGCACTGATGTCAAATGCAAGGAGATGTCTGGGTGCCCAAGTGAGGTGCTTCAAAGCTCAAATTCTGTAGCTCATCTCATGCTGGAAATATGTATCCCAGAGAGATGATCAGCAGAGATGTAGATCTCTCTGAGAATACCTAACTAATCTCTTTTTTTTTTTCCTGTTCTCACTTTGTTAATATGTCATAACTTTTCAAAAAGGAATAAACAGCCTGACTTTTACTGGCCTACAGTCACACCATGTTTATCAAACACAGATGAGAATTGCTATAAATGTCTTGCTGTAACCTCGATTTTGGCTTTTATGGCCAAAAGTAGTGTGGAGGGGTGTGAAAAGGTTTCGTTATAGCAAGTGTGGGTTCACTTGCTTCCCTTCTTCCCCTTCCCCAAGGATTTCTGGCTGATTCCAGTACTGAGATTGCAGTTTGTTGCTGTTTGCCTGCTAAAGAAGGGGGAAGACTTCATGTGCCTTCTATTCTTCCTCAGGCGTTTTTTCAGGGCAGGTGGAAACCAAATACATAAAACTTGTTTAGTTTTTGATCTAGACCATCCGTGGTAATATTTTAATTTCTTTGATATCTTAAAAGTTAAATATACTCCTAGTAGCAAAGCACTAATGCTCACAAACACAGAATAAATTAGTGTTTGGGGAATCTGATTCCACTGTGGGTAATGGTTCTTGGTAGGAGGGATTGCCATGATGGAGTTGAGCCACTGAGGAGAAGTTTCTGATGTACTGGAGTGCAGCTGGTGGAACTTCTCATCCTTGCACTTTTGTAGTCATTTAGGGACAAAAAACTTCCAAGCCATCCCAATTTTGAATGCTTCTACTGTATCATTCTGTTCTTTTTGTGTCTGAATTAGATGATGAAATTTTCTGCACATCTAAATTCTTGACTTAAATTCTTTATTGCTAACCTTTGTCCCTTTTGTTTCATAGGAGATGATACTTTAAAGATATGGGATATTAGACAATTTAAAAAGCCTCTTAATTCAGCGGAAAGACTGCCCAGCTTCTTTCCAATGTAAGTACTCTCATTTTTCCAGCTAGTAGAAATAGCAGTAGTTGTGCTAAACGGGAGGGAGTCTGTCAGAGTTCTCCTCGGTTCTCACTAGGTCCAGAACTGTGCAGAAAGGACTGCACAGGGAGAACTGTGCAATGAGGATTCTTGGCTATTTTAGGATGTGACATTGCTTTAAAAGCTCTTGTATTTTGTGTGATAATTCATAGCTAGCTTTGCTTGTTCTACGCCATTTTTCAGTCTCATATGTCTTATGTCTAATTAAATTAGCAACTTTTCGGGGGGAGGCCAGTTCATTGCCTTATGTTTGTATAATGAGATATGTAAGTAATCCTCATTCTTATTTGGTCTATGATTAATAAAAAAAGAGCTGGATTGAAAAGCAGACATAACATGAAGTGCATGGTATGAATTCAGGTTATGATGTCAGAAGTGCTGATGGCTGTGTTCTTTGGTACTAAAATACTACATTGTACTGCATAGTGCTAAGTATTGTATTTAATATTTTTATTGGTATTACCTGCATTTCTATAGCTGTAGCACAGCCAAATCCAACTCTAAAGACAATTTATACTTTTGAAATAAGTTCTTAGAAAGGCAGGTCATGGACAGCTCAGTCTTGACTGCAATTTGTAGCATAGAGGAAACGTAAACAGACAAACATTTTTGGCCACTGTATAAACACACTGCCTTGCATCATTGAAGAATGTATCATCAGCAAAAATAGATCTCATGACTGATTTATTTTTTTACTTAATGATGATAACCAGCTTTGAAAATACTTTTTTTTGTTTGTTTCTCATGTTGAAAAGTTTACAAGACTTTTGAGCAGAGGAGAACTTTGTTGGCAGGAGGATTTTTATTGGATCTGCCAGTTTTACACGTTCTGTGCACAGCTGTAATTGTACATGTGAACTGTGTCTGATAACTACAGTAATAGATGACAGCTAACGAAAGATTTTTTTAAAGCTTTGTCTTGAGGAATGCAATTTATATGTAAGTTCCCTATACCTTAATTATTGATTTGCCCAGTATGATCATTTGTCTTCTTCAACAGGACAGATTGTTGTTTCAGCCCAGATGATAAAATACTCGTCACAGGCACCTCTGTTAAGAAAGGTGGTGGCAGTGGGAAGCTTTTTTTCTTTTATCGGGAGACATTCCAGAAGTTGTATGAGATAGAAGTTACAGATGCGGTATGTATTTTAGTTTTATTTTGTCAGCTATTCAAAACATGAATGAAATCATATTCATATGCTTTTTTCCCCTTTTACAAGTAATGACCTACTAACACTACTGTAATTTTTCTACTCCATATTTAAGAGATAGAGGTAGAGTGGCCTGAATAGGTGCTATTCTCTTTTCAATTAAAAAAAATAAAAGAAAATCCTGGGACAAGGTGTTTAAGCACTAGGAGATCCCTGCTTTTATTTCTGCATTGCGTTCCTCAAGGATTTCTGTGAACCCTTCTAGATCTGTGAAGTGAGGCATGAATCCTAAAATTCTTACGTGTTTATGCTGTTTACTCCACCAGTTATCATGATAAAACACCGTATTGTGACAAAACTCCTACTCGTCCCTGAAACTATTCTTGTGGTTACTACAGAATGTATTTCAATGGACTGTAGCTTGTATAAATGCAACAATTTTGTGGCAAAAGCAAAGCATCGTTAGGAATCCCTCCATCAAAAATGCCATTCTCACCAGTAATATAAAAACCTAAAATTGTGAATCTGTAATACAGAAGAGTCTGTGTATGGCTTGAACTGCTTACCTATTCCCTTGTACAGAAGGAAAAAGCTTAGTAACGTAGTTGAAAAAAGGTCCTTTCACTCTTGTAGTGTACACAAGTAAGCTTATAGATTATAACAAACAGGAATGGGATAAATTAAAACAGAATTGCCATTGCTTAAGTATGGCAATATATGCGTAAGTCCCATTAGTTGTTGCAGTCTGTCAGATAGTTTTGTTTCAAAGTATTGTTTTCTTCTTCTGCACTTTTCTTAACCCAGCACAGCGGACCAAAACCCCTTGTGCTGGACATAATTTATACAGAATTTACATTTGTAAATGTAAAGTGTCTGGATGTGGTCATGATGGTATCTTCATTTAGTTGTGTTGAAGTCGGTAATAGTGTACAGAAACTTCACTTGAGCTTTTAAGTCTGCAAGAATGAGAAGCTTGTCAATGGTGGATTCTGTATCTCCAAAAGAAATTCATAGTGAGAATTGCTGCTCACCAGCTACCTGTTTTGCATTCAAAGGAAATTTTTATTTGCTAACTTGTCTCCCAGAAAAATGGTTCTTCAATTCTCTGAAATAGAGGGTCTGTTTACCTGCTGAGGTAGATGATGCTACAGGAGAGTCCAGAAAAGGTTGTTTTGCTCTGTTTCTCTCAGAATTGAGAGAGAAATTTCTGTTCTTCTGCTTCAAAATGCAAGAGAGACATGGCGCTGAGAACCAACAGTAGGAAATTGTTGGAAAAACAAAATTAGGGGTCAGTAAGCGACTTCACTGGGGTGACTTATATAGTAAGATTTTAAGTAAGTGTACGAATCTCAGCTGGTTCATAATTTTATAGTATAAATTTATATAGGTGCTGATATTTATATGGTACTTTTTAAGACTGTAGTAAATTACTTTTGTCTATAGAGTTTTAGTGCTGCTGTTTTTCTTCATTTGTAGTTATAAAATTTAAGACTGTCATTCTCCCGCTTTGAATATAATGGATCAAATGAAAATACTGGAAATGATAGTTGAAGAATTGAGACTTATAAATGCTGATCTTATGATGTAATTTTCAGTGAGTCAGCACTAATAATACCTCTACAATCAGTCTGTCTAGCTTCCAGCTTCAACACTACACATCTAAGAAAAACACAGTTAAGCCTATCAACCTGAATCTAAAAGAAGAAAAATTACTGTAAGTGGTGTTATAAAATAAAAGCAGTGTATTTTTTCAAGATCTTTCTACTGTTTGTATCTTTTGGCTTTTTCATTAGTGTTCTTTTCTTATTCTTCTCAAATTGCAGTGTTTGATGAAATATAAATGCATAAAGGCGTGCTAAAAACAAATGAACTTCATATGAGTTTCATAAAAATGAATTCCCAAGAAGCTGGCTTTTCTATTTTGCAAGCAGTACATACTCTTTATTGGAAAAATCATTGGCCTCAAAAGTGGTAGATTAATATCTTGTGTGTAGTTTATCAAAGCAGTTTTTCAGCAATGCAGTAATTACTTGCTTTATATGGACTACTATCCTAGTTTCCATTTTTTCCTTATACTCTCTCAAAAATGCAGATAGCAGTTAGTGTAATTAAAGATAATACATAATGTTGTCTAGGACTTCTGTTTGTCTTCTGTAACTAAATATCATACTTCTTTACCTTTTGTATGTTATCTAGTGCTTATATACATAATTCCAATGTTTCTATTTTTGTTTTTTTTAGGCTTTATATAGATGAAGTTACATTATGCCAATATGTGTAGTAAAAGCACAAATACACCAATATCTATCTCCGCAAAGAGCTTGATGTGCTCTCATTCCTCATGAAAATAATTTCAATTATTTCCGTTGGATTTAGTCTAAATTGCTAAAGAAAAAGGGCATCATTAGTCATTTCTTTCAAGTATAAAATGAAAATAATAAGACTTTTTGAGGGCAGTTGTATACCAGTTTAGTGGTTGAATGTATATAATCAGAATAACAGAAAATGTACAGTGAAGAGAAAACATAAACTATTAATGTGTTACTTCTTTAATTTTACGAAGATTTTTTAAAGGAAATGCCAGTAAGCTTAGACAATTGAAAAACACTAAAGAGCAGTAAACATTATCTTTAACCTCCTTGGTAAATAGCCAGTGCAATTGGCCTGTGAATGAACCTAGGGGGTAATGTGAAAATATTTAATGGGAATGTTTGACCAAAGCTGCGTCTGGCATTCCTTTCCATTATACCACACAAACCTTTTTTCACCTTTTCTTTCAAGTTTTCATGGGAAAACCCATTACTGTTTTAGAGCTGCTGGAGTGAAACCTTGTGGTTTTACAAATGGACTAATAGTCTGATTAGTCTCTGCTATTGTGGCTGGGTATAGAATATTAATTTGCTTTTCATTTCACGTATTAGTCTTTTTTGGGTTTGTTTTTTGGTTTTTTTGTGGTTTTTTTTTTTTTGTCACAATCTGTGGCTAAACTAGTGACTATATTGTGGTGTCCATTATTGAATGCCATTCCGCCATGTAGGCATTGGGACTTCTGTAGAACTCAAGCTTCTTGGATAAATAGCAACACTTTTTGAAGAAAAACTAAATAGACGTCAGAAGTGGTGCAGACCATGGGTTCTGTCTCTGACCAGTAGCAGTGTGCCGGCAGGAGGAGTTGTGAACAGGGCAAATACACAGTGGTGCTTCTCTGACTATTCTGTTCTGCCTCTGGTGGTTTGTGACTTAGAGTTGTCTTGGCAGACATAGGAATTTTACAATTAATAGCACTCAGTGGATTTCTCTTCCATGAGTTTATCAAGGAGTGAAATTATCCATCTTGCAGGTTACTGGCAGGGTCATTTACTTACTGCAGATTAGATCAAAACTCAGGGTCGGGTGCTCCTGCCTCTCCCACTCTCATAAGGAAGCTGATGCTCTGCGTGCAGTACTTCAGCCTTACTCTGGCTCAGGGTGTACAGGTGTGACTGGAGATTATGAGGGCTTTGTACTGTGACTATAGTTATGTATGCTAAACTGTACAGAATTCCTCTCTTTTTAACAAGAACCGAACTTTAAAAACTCCTGTTATGCATGTGCAGCTTTTTCATGGTTTTTCTGTCTCTGTTTCTTCTAACTTGACAGTATTATCTGTGAATGGTTCTTTTGCTCTCACCTCAAATATCCACAAGGAGTATTTATATTAAACTTTCTCAATATGAGCAAATGAGGCTTATTTTATGTGGAAGATTTATAATTGCATGCAGAATGTTTCTTCATTCCATTTAGGTGGATGAGGAGACTTAAACAGATGTCAGGAAATAAAACTGCGAGAAGAGAGGTACAAAGTGTATGCGCAGAAACTCAGAGGCTGTTTCGTTTTCCTTTCCTCAGGTAGTATGAGAGGAAGCAAGACCTTTAACTGCTTCAGGGCGAGGTCTCATCTTTTGGGATTTCTGTAACTGCACTCTTTTTCTGGAATGGAAGGGAGATGTCATTGTCAGATGCAAGTCAGGGAGGGTTTATTCCTAATTTTTGGTTTGGTTATGCAAGTAGGAGATCTTCATGGGAACCAGTTACAAATACCTAGTGTATAGGAAACAGAGTTGGGTACACATCATTTCCCCCAATGTCAATTTATTTTAAAATAGCTGTGGATAGCCACTTGAATCACTCTAACATGTCTGTCATTTGTTTGGCTAGTTCAAACAGATCACCTAGTGGTTATCCTTATTACAGACAAGATAGATTTTGGCAGCAATAGGGCAGTCATTTTCCCCATATGGAGAGGAAAAGTAGTACACCCCGTTACTGCCAAGCAAGAGTGGGCACTGAAAAAGGAAAAAAAAAGTCGTACAATTACAGAAATTGCTGGTTTTAAATGAAAATGTAAGTAATAATTTAATTTTAAAATGAGCCAAGGTGATGAGATTATGTACATCATAAAATGAGAGGTGCAAGTTTTTAAAATATCCTGCAGGTTTTTGTAGGTAAGCAACAATCCTAAAACATAGATTTATGGTTGTTTTGGGAAACCTGTTTCTGTTACAAAGATTCTTCAATATTTTCTTAGTTTCTCAAATATAACCAAATATTAAATTATTAAATACTTCTGAAAATACCTCTAAGGGATGTTTCAGGAAGGTCTTCTGAGACAAACTATAAATAAAGTTTCCTTTTAGATTAAAGAGTGAAAAGGAAAGAAGGAATATGAAACTTCCAGCATCCTTTATGCATAGTTGATATAGGATTGCAGTATTTCTTTCCTTGACCTCAAATGATATCATTTACTATTTATAAAGTGGAGTAATATAGTAAAGGGCTTTTCCACTGTGGCCCATTTCACTAAGATTTAAAGCTTTTGAATTTAAGAAAAATAAATTCTTTAACTTCTGGAAGAGATCATCATGCTACTTCTGGGGTTTTTTAAAGCCATTTATTTTATTTGAAAGGAAGAACCACATTTTCTACAATAAGGAAGGAAATACAATATT